CATGGTTATGGGCTTAGTGTTAGAAATTTCGTTGATTATCATTCATGAGGGTTGTTCGTGGGAATCGGGTAGTGGTCTGGATGTCGGGTAGCATCTTCAGTCTGCGAAGTGGTTAGTTGAAGATCAAGTTTCTTTCGAGTCCGGGGTGATTAGTGTTGATGTGGGAATTATGAAGGTTGCTCGTGTTAGTGGGAATCGGTTCGTGTGTAAGTGTTTGTGTCGGGAAGGTTGTTGAGGAAGTTCGCCAATGGCGACCGGTGGTTGATAGTCAGTGCTCCAAGTGAGGGAGAATTGGAGAATTCTCCGGGTAAAATCGATGAGTATGAAAGGTTGTTTAGCTGCATGGGATTCAGTAGTGGCTCGGTCAGCCAAAGGCGTAGGCTGGTATGAGCAAGTGGCAGGCGTGCGGGGCGGGATGCAGACCAAGAGCGATTGATTATGGAAGGCCTAGGATCGGGCTGAGACTGAGTGTATGGGATGGAGGTAGAGTTCAGAACCCCTGGAGGGCTAGAACAGTTTGCATGAGAGGAGTTTTCCCGAAGGAGTAACTCGGAATGTTAAAGTGCTAGTTGAGCGGTCCGGATAGACTGAAGGCCGGTCGGCGTGCCAGTCAGGCCGAAGGCTTAGAGAACGGTCCAGCTAAACTAAAGGCCCTGGAGGGCGGTCCAGGTCTGCTGAAGGTTATGAGAGTGGTCCAGTTGGCTGAAGGCCTGGTAAGGCGGTGCAGTCATGCTGAAGACTCTGCATGTGTTGTTAGATCGGTACGAGGAAATGGATTGAGTATATCGCGATATGTTAGCGTTGTAAGGTCTGCCCCGGATATTGATCACGATTAGTAGAGGTAGTGCATGGACTTGAGAGCTTTCGCGAGTGGATTCAGTGTATGTATGGTGCATGGGATAGCGGTTATGCCATAAGGAAATGGTGTAGTGTTGGGTGAGCACCGTGGCACTTGTGGTAGTGTCAAGGCAGCCAAGTGGATCTCCTTGGTAAGGAAAAAGGAAAGGAATGTAGCTCCGAGAGGGAGTGTAAGTCACGGAAGTGAAATTAGTAGTGCGAAGTTATGACTGAAGTGTTTCAATCATGGTTATTGCATAGTGTGGGCGGCGGTGATATGGAATCACATCCGGTTTGGATGTCTGCCAAGGTCACGGAAGGAAATTCCGGGGGTGTAAGGTCAAGAGGCTCGTAAGGGATGTAGGGATGGAGTTTTGGATTCCCAGCTTGATTTCGGTAAATGAGTTGTGTATGTAGTGGTAATTCATCATGGGGGATGTTTGGAGGTATTGTCAGTGTATCGGGTTTTCAAAACCTGAGGGTGCTAGAGTCTGTTCAGCATGGGTTAAGAGATTGCGGAGGGGAACTCATGAGAGTTGCTATGAGATTAAGTGAGGTATCATCCTGTCAGCATGGAATGGGTAAAGTTGATTTCAGACCGGGATTCTGGTGGTTCAGGGATTATTTCTAGCTCGCATGAGTCAAATGACTGTTGTGAATTGGAGCGAGCGAAGTATCAGGGAGTGGTACTCGGTGGTTAGATGTGGTTATCAAAGGATGAGGTCGGTGGTCGGCTTGAAGCAGTGGTCAGGACACCGCAAGAGGGAAAGTTGGGTTTTGGGTTCCGATGGCTGTGTTTTGAAGAATCTGGTCTGGTTAATGCCAGCAGGTGCATTGCAAGAGTAGTTCTGAAGTTGTGTTGCCGTAGGCTTCAAGGATGAAGCCTAATTTAAGTGGGGGAGAATTGTAACATCCCGAGTCCAGGAGTGCAAGTTCGGGGTTCAAAGTGTAAATTTGAAAGGCAACTCGGCGAGTCCATGGGTGGACTCGGCGAGTAGGGTCGCGAATCAGGTCGCATGTTAAGTGGCCAACTCGGCGAGTCCAAAGCTGAACTCGGCGAGTAGGCGCTGTGCAAAGAAAACCCTAATTTCAGGGAATGAGCCTTATATAAAGGACATTATACCCTCTCCCCAACCTCCTTACCTTCCCTTGAAGTCCAGAAAACCCTAGAAGCATGATTGTGAAGGATTTGAGTGCATTTGAGCCTTGGAGAAGAAAGTTGGAGGAAGATCTTGGAGAGTTAGGAGGCTTGGAGCAAGGGGCTTTGCTTAGATTCAGATTCCTTGCTGTTGGGGGCTTCTCTTTGAGGTATTATCTCGTTTTTGGGCTGCTATTCATGTAGATTCATCATTTTTGGGTTGTATAGGAAGTTTAGCTTGTGGTATATGGAGTTTGAAGGTTAGATCTGAGGTTGCTACCTCAGATCTGGAATGGAGAAGGTCTAGAGTGCATTAAAGTCTCTGTTATTGAGTGATTGGTGAAGCCATCTTGTCCCAAACCCTAGCCCTAGAGTGTAAAATGCCTAGATCTCTATGGATTCACGTAAAGTTTGCCACTTTACGTGATGGAAGGGTTGTAGAAGGGTAGATCTACGTTTTGGATCAATTGAATGGCCTGAAGGATTTTGTATGGGTTAAGAACAAGTGGTACTCGACGAGTCACAAGGGTGTACTCGGCGAGTTGCTTGAAGGCGGGCAGGAACTCGACGAGTTTGAATAACAACTCGGCGAGTTGGTTGAAGATAGCCTTGGACTCGGCGAGTCTGTTCTTGGACTCGGCAAGTCTGCTCTTGGACTCAGCGAGTCTGATCTTGAGGTCTTAGCCTTTCCTGGTTAAGCTAAGAATCAGTGAGTCAAGGGATGACTCAGTGAGTTGGAAGGGGTTCCTTTTCAGTATTGGGGGACTTGGCGAGTCAGCGGGCTGACTCGGTGAGTAGAGTCAGCCAGAAGGTTGACTTTGACCAAGAGTTGACCAGTTGACTTCTAAGGACATTTTGGTAATTGTTGGCTTTTGTTTTGAGTTCAGTGTTTGTGCTAGCTAGTGGTGGAGATCGTGTCAGTGGTCGGAGCATCTTGATCTTATCTTCCTAGTCAACAATTGCGAGGTGAGTTATCCTCACTATATCAACAGGGCCTATGGCACCAAGGTCGGCCCTTTATCGGATTGTAATCCGGGTATTGTTGTTATGTTGTTGTTTTACTATGTTTGCATCCTGGTAGTTAGGATGGTATTCGTTAGATGACTTGATTAAGGTCGGTATCCTGGTATATAGGGTGATGCTATGCTAGTGACCGGTTAGGTCGATATCCTGCTTAGAGTATGTTGTGTTACGTGATCTGCTAGATCGATTTAACTAAATATGAATTGTTATATGATTGTATGTTTATGTGCACATGGTTGTTTGACTGGGGTTGGGTTGAGGCGGGACCTGCTTTGTGTTGTAGGCCAACATACCCAGGGCGGACCGGTTGTTCTGAAGGCCCAGCGAGCGGTCCATATAGGTTGTAGGCCCCACGAGGGCGGACCAGACGTGCCGAGGCTCGGAAAGTAGACCACGCCGACTGAAGGCCTGGTGCGGGCAGACCAGTCATACTGTAGACTCAAAGAGTGGACCAGGTGGATTGAAGGCCCGGTGCGGGCGGACCAACCGCCCTGCAGACTCGATGTATATGGCTAGACGCGGAGGGTGGAGCAGGTGGACTGTTGGCCGGTGCGGCGGACCAGTCACAAAGTAGACCCGATATGCATGGTTGTTCTGTGATTCGATATGATATAGCATGTTATGTGTGTGGTATATGTGGTTGGTATTTTGGGGGTATCTCACTAATCTTTCAGGCTTACAGTTGTGGTTTAATGTTTTTCAGGTTCTTCAAGAGACCGTGGCAAGGCAAAGGCGTAATCGTACCGCTCCTCGTATTTATGTTTTATGATATGAACCTGGGAATACTCTGATAATAAATGTATTGAAATCTTTTTGTAATAACGTATTTTTGGAAAATAAATGCAAAATAAATGAAAAAATCCAAATTTTTTTATTTTAAATATTATTTTTGGAACTTGAATTAACTAAAAAAAATAAAAAAAATCCGTCTCACGGTCTCACAAAATATAGGTGGTCTCAAATGAACCTAACTGTATGTATATATATATATATATATATATATATATATATATATATATATATATATATATATATATATATATATATATATATATATATATATATATATATATATATTCGTTAAGTAAAAGAATTCAAACTACCGAGGATTTTACCAAATCCAACACATTGCTATAATATACATCGCTAGTATTTTTTTCGGACTTCTAATTTGGTCACTCTGTTGTTGGTAAATATATATGGTAAAACTGCCAAATGAACAAGGAATGTTTGACGAACACAATCGAATCCAAGTGACTTATAATTGGCCTCTGTAACAGACAACCAAACCCTACTTAGAGTCAACTTTCGGATCATTGAACTCCATATTTTAGTGATGGCCATTGGTCCTATTGTTGAATACTCGTCTACAAGTTCGGACTATTGATATCCACAATGACTAATAGAAAAGAACCGAGTGTTACAGCGGTAAAAGAATGGATTCAACCTCAAAATAAACGCCAAAATGTCATAGGGAAGTGCTTTCCTGTCGATATTACAAAAGACAAATGGACTTCTGAACATCTGCCCTGCTTGTCAATACATCGACTACTTGCATGCAATTTTTGTTGAAATAGAAGTCCTTTTTTGCAAAAGTAAAGTTTTGCTCTCAACTTTTGAAAAATGCATCATTCTTTTGTTACTCAAAAAACTAAAACATCGTTGTTGACAAAGTGTTAAATTCTTGTTTAATCTTTTCAAGCATTTTAATAAAATTATATCTTTAACTTGTTTTTTTAAATAAAGAATTATTGTTTTGCACTATGCATAGAGTGGGTCCTATAAGATTCCAAAGAGGGAGGTTCGCAGATTACACATATAAACGGCCTTGGCGTTTCTTTTATCACACCTCTCAAACTCATACTACCTATCATTCATCATTTCTCTCTCTCTCTCTCTCTCTCTCTCTCTCTCTCTCTCTCTCTCTCTCTCTCTCTCTCTCTCTCTCTCTCTCTCTCTCTTATTCAAATTTTCCTTCGATCAACAAGAAAGAATTAATGCAATGGCAATCGATTGCATGATTAAGACACCATCGTGCATGTCTTCCCTCAAGGAAGAGCTCAAAGAAGACCAACAAAGGTCACTCGTGTTCGATGCATCAGTCCTCCAACACGAAACCAACATACCCCAACAGTTCATATGGCCCGATAATGAGAAACCCAACTCCAAAAAATCTAAGGACCTAGACGTTCCTTTGATAGACTTGGAAGGCTTCCTTTCTGGACGCTCGAGTTCAACCAACGAAGCCTCCCGACTCGTTGGTAACGCTTGCCAAAAACATGGTTTTTTCCTCGTTGTAAATCATGGAGTTGATGCAAACCTAATATCTGATGCTCAAACATACATGGACTTGTTCTTTGAGCTTCCCCTTTCAGAAAAGCAAAGAGCTCAAAGAAAAGCCGGTGAAAGCTGTGGATATGCTAGTAGCTTCACTGGAAGATTCTCCTCTAAACTTCCTTGGAAAGAGACGCTCTCTTTCCGATTCTCAGCTGAGAAGAACTCGCCCGATATAGTTAAAGACTACTTCGAGAACACAATGGGCAAAGAATTTGTTCGACTCGGGTATGTTTCAAATCACACATGTATCTATATAATCTCTCTAATTTGGTATTTATATAACTAAATGATTTGATTGTTGCAGGAAGGTGTATCAAGAATATTGCAATGCCATGAGTAGACTTTCTCTTGGGATCATGGAGTTATTGGGGTTGAGCCTTGGGGTTAACCGATCTCACTTCAAGGAGTTTTTCGAGGAAAATAACTCTATAATGAGACTCAACTACTATCCACGATGCCAAAAACCAGACCTCACCTTAGGAACGGGGCCTCATTGTGACCCGACATCGTTGACAATTCTACACCAAGATAACGTTGGTGGGCTAGAAGTGTTCGTGGACAATGAGTGGCGTTCCATTGCACCAAATTCAAGTGCTTTTGTCGTCAATATCGGTGACACATTCATGGTAATCAACCTGTTGATGATTAGCTTACATATAAATGGTTTTACAGATAGTACAGGGATGGAGCCTAATTGGATTCTTTTTTCCATCTTGTACTGTTTTGTTTGTATTTGGTGTTTTGGCTTTTGTCCAAGTACTTTTTAACTGCATTTTCTTCTTCTTTTTTCGAAGTTGGTTTTAATGTTACTCTGTTTATTTGTTTACAGGCACTTTCAAATGGAAGATACAAAAGTTGCTTACATAGAGCTGTGGTAAACAACAAAACTCCAAGAAAGTCACTTGCTTTCTTTCTATGTCCAAAGAAGGATAAGGTGGTGAGCCCACCAAACGAATTGGTGGATGAAAATAATCCGAGGGTATATCCAGATTTTACATGGGCTACTTTTCTTGAGTTCACTCAGAAGCATTACAGAGCTGACATGAACACCCTTCAAGCTTTTTCAAACTGGGTTGAACAGAAAACGAGCACAACTTGATATCACATCAATGTCAACTAGTGTACTACTCTCTCTTTTTCTTTCCTCTCTTTGACACGCAAACATGAATATAGATGAAGATGGATGATAATTGTCAAGGAGGGTTAAATCAATGCATGAAGATATATGCATGCTTTGATAAGTTTCTCCTTTTTAAATTTCTAGGGTGACAATTGAAGGACGAAAGCAATGTTAAGGACCCAAGCCAAGGTTTTAATCTTCTTTGGGGGCTAAACTAGGAATAAAGAGAAGCATATAAATGAGCCAATTTTGTAATTTTCTTTTGGACTATATGTAGAAAAGCTTATTGAGTCATCACTAGTACCATTATCCTAGTATTTTAGCTGCTACTTGTATATATAAATGCCAAAAAAATATTCACTCATCACTAGTAGCATTACCCTCTTTCTTTATATTCAATCCACGTCTCGTTTATAATGTTTTTTCTTTTGCATTTACATCCAAATCTTTCCTCTAAATAATCATTCTCTTGGGAGCGTAACTTGATTTACCTTTATAATCATCCATGCATATACACTCGCATGGAGAGTATAGTCCTAGTCGTGTTTCCTTTATAAAGTATGCTTAAAAATAAAACAAGAATGAAAAAAAGATTGTTGTGTACGAATCCAAATGATTACACGTGCACAATCAAAAGCTAATTCTAATTGGGTTAATTTTCAATTTGAATAGTGAAACCTTGATATGTGAATCGATGTTTGAAACAGCATAAAGATAAGCATCCACTTCAAATTAAAGTACGTACATACATGCACAATATAGAGAAGCTAATACGGCTTTCAGGCCGTCGTTGCCGGAAAGACCTTGGAACCGATATATATCTCAAAAAACAAGTCAACGTACATTAAACAGACAAAAGATGTATTTTATATACATATAATAATTACACGTGAAACGTATTATTATAATCAAATATCTCTAATAAAACTAAAACCATTGATGAAGACATGTACAATACCTTATCATGAAATGTAAATGGTAAAACATTTCAAGATTTAGTAAAATAATTTTGGGAAGTGGTGAAACATGGGTGAAATATTTAATTTGATAGGCGAATTAGAGTCCTTGGGTACAGGATCGTGGTGGGGTGAGAGGGGGGGACTACATTTTGAGTTCGTCTACTCTGAAACCAACAGCACTACACCATGGTGATCCCACACTTCAAGAATGATCCGATGTCACATCTTTGGAAAATAGCAATGGTGTCGTTGGATCTACTTTGGGATTTTTTTCAATCTTTCTACTTTTTATTTTTTTGTCATGGGTGGCAATATTGGAGGACAAATTAAAGAGCCTAGCTAGGTAGGGTTATTTGGGTAATTTCATGCACGTATCAAGTAAAAAAAAAAAAAAATGGACCCACAAAAATGAGTCATTCAGGAGGGATTAGGAACTAGAGTCCATTGATAGAGCTTTCCTTGTATTGGATTCTTCTACAACAAGAGTTTTGGTTTTTAAGAAAAAACAAAAAATCACCTCTTGTTCTTAAGCATTTTACAACTCATTTTTCTTTTCGAAATTACCATACCACACCATGCTAAATGGGTCTTAATTGGTAGGTTATGGTCCCCTCTCATTTAAGGCAATTTTTGTGTTAATCTCATCATTCTTCTTTTCGTTCGCGATATTATAAAACGCTTTTAATTTGTAATGGTTGAAGATGACATAAGGGTTAATTGAGTATGTTTAATGTTACTATCTTAAATTTATATATGTTGGTATATAGGCACAACCATAGTTGTATTTTTTTTTTTTTTTCCTAAATAGTCATTTCACAAGCTTCCTTACAAAAATGTTATTGGATTTGCGAAATGATTTCTAGCTATAATTACTTTTATTTTATTCTATTTTATTTTTTGCTTTAGTACTTTTGTATATGTAAACTAGCTAGCACACGGTTTCGTTTTATTGTCAACATACGAAATGGTATTTTTAGTTGTTTTCGATTTAGTTATTATCCAGTGTTATTAAATTTTTGTCCATGTATTTTATTTATTTTTGTTTATTTATTGTGGCATAATAAAATAGGTTTTATTTTAGTAAAAGTATTCACTAAATACGTATTTACATTGTAGGACACTTATTAGATGTACGATATGTAACGACCCATATTGTCTAACATCTATACTAAGGGATATATCAGGTTTTATCTACACAATGTGAACTTATACTCTAATTAAAACACTTTACATCACAAGACAAATTATAGGTTTACAATTAATCCTCTCCTAATAAACAAAACCCTAATATGCCACATGTCCCTATTTTACCATTCCATATTGCCACATGGCACACTTCTAAATAATTCTTTTATTTTCCAAAAAATAAATCATAAATCCATAATTATATTAAAAAATTCATTTAATTCCTCTATATAGCTCCACTTTCTTTAGAAACAATATCAACGGCTATTCATTTTTTTAAAATACAAATCGTAATTTTTTTTTATTTATAAATTTCTTTAATTCCTCTGTTTCAAAATCATAAATCGAGAATTATTAATAGTAATCACGAAATTATATAAAAATACTCGAATGAATTCCACTTTTGTGGTAACAAAAGAAAATGTGGTTCAATTTTTTTAAATCCAAATCCTATCGTATTTTGAATTTTAAAACTGTTAAAATAATAACATTTAAAAATTTTCAGGATTTCAATTAATCCCAAAATACAAATCCTATCTTATTTAAAAATTTGAAATTAATAAAGTATTTTGAATTAATTTCATTGTTTTTTTTAGTTATTAGTTTTTTTTTCTCTATACAAAATATTTAATTATATCAAACGTGGTTTCCACGGATTTTAACCTAATATATATATATATATATATATATATATATATAAAAGAAACAACAAGGAATTACAACTAGATATTTTAGTCTAGGTATTTGTGCTCCTATCTTTTCTTCTTTGGTACCACGTTTGTTACTACCTGAACGTGCGAAACATAAACATATCTATAACATCAGACATTGTATATAATGAGATGGTGCGTGGTGGGTTAATATGCTATCTTTTCTTATCTTTCTTCTTGCTTCTTTTTCCTATATTCTATCATACAACTCTTTCTCTAATAGATTCATTGCTATTCTTTCTATTCTCTCATCTATCTCTTTTATCTTTCTTCTTTAATCATTCTTTCTACTCTTTGTCATATCCTTTATATCTTTCTCAGCCAGCTAATCTGTTTCTCATGCTTTTCTCAGGCTCTCCACTTACTCTAACTTTATCTCTTCTCTTCTCTGTCTCTTCTCTACGCTATCTATTTCGTGTTATTTCTCTACTCTACCTTTTCTATTCTCTATTTTCATCTCTAATGCCTCAACATTTTATTCACATTTAGACCCAGTGGTCCCATCTCATACTCTAATATTCTCTGTCTTCTAAGGGAAATCAATCCCAATATATTACTATGTATTCACATTTGGTCTTACTTCTTACTCTCATTATCCCTCATGGATCCTTAATCTTTATTCTTCTCTACAATCCCCTCATGGATTCCTTACTCTTAATTATTTACGGATTACCTAAAAGTTCTCACAAAGAACTCTCTGATCTTGTTCCTCTCAAGGAACCTTTCTCAATCTTCTCTAATAATACATAATTTGGATTTCCACATGAACCACCTATCTATATACACACACACATGATGGAGATTAGTTCCTACAGTCATGACATACCGATAATATTATTATAAATTATAGTATCCTTTAAGTTTACATGCAAGAGCAAAAATAAAACAGAACTAAAATATATTTATATTAGGGACTTATTTTGCTAATTAATTAATGGTTTAATTAAATAACTAGAAAACAAATGAATTTGGAATATCCCATAAAGATTTGAACTGCCAAGATAATTACAAATATATTTGCTAATTATCTTTACAGTTTCGAATCACCTCCTTATATAAAGAGGGGTCAAAATCTAGTTTTTAGTACATGAGATAATACCATTCCACTCCAAAAATTCAGAACCCAAAGGAAAAACCCTACAATCATTGGAGCTTATTCACCATGCTATGGTCGATCAATTGCCATGTCGTGGTCCTTCACAGATTCGTTTATTTGATTCTTATAACAACTAGTGTTCAAGGAGCTTTAAGATCTATAAAGTTGTTGAGTCTTGGTTGCAATAACAAGAGAGAAACTCTGCGTTAGGTTCTCAATTTCGATGAATTGGCTAGACCAAATAAATCCAAGAAGTACATGAAGGTGTAATTACTTGTTTTATGTCCTTTAAAGTAGTATAGATTTATTTGAGTTAGAAATATAGTTTCTAGTCTCTAGATTAAAAAAAAGTTATCACTTCCGCTGTCTCGATTTGGTCTCGGACTAGGCTTGAAACCAATCAGTGGTATCAGAGCTTTTTGGTTAACTTTAGTCAGCACTTAGAAATTGTATTTGATTGTATGTGTAGGATTTATGTGTTTAATTTGTTTTAAATAGTCTAGAAATTGTTGTGTTAAAATTAAATCTGTGTGTACTTGATAAAATGATTTCTAAGTCGCTCTGCCTCTTCGCCATGTTAAGTTGGTCCTCCAATACATCGTGGTTCTTCTTGGTGCTGAATCTGGATCGCAACTGCCTCTTCGCCACATCGTGATCCCTACCTGGACAAATCATGGTGTGCGAGTGAAAACATAAATTAATTTTTAATAATTGTCTTGTTTTATGTGTCCCACAACGTTGTTTCCCATTCCCCACGTCGTGGAACCTAAGTTCCAAAATTATAAATTTGTTCCTTGTTTTCTATTGCTTAATCCCATTTCGATTTTAAAACACATACAAACTAGCCTATATACTAAAATATAAAATTAAATTTGATTTAATTATAAGATTAATTAAAAGTTAAAAGATTTGGAACTTAATAGTTTTATTGTTTAATTACATATTTTGATTAGTCAATAGAATTAAAAAGTCATAAAATTTAAAGTGCTTCAATTCCAAATGTGTATGTATAGTAAAATCATATTATATGTATCACACTATAATACAAGCATTGCGTCCTCGTGTATTTCTTTAATCTACGTTGTTAGTCTTTGCACGACTAGGTTCACCTACTTTAATGTTATAGGGAGGGTTTAAGGTAGGCCATTGTTTCCTAATGAAGTAGGATTTTAAGTGGCATTTAGTGCTTGCCACCCATACTGCCTTCTTGAATTTTATGTAGAGTTATAAAAAGGGTTTCATAGGATAATTATGAAAAGTGAAAAGTATTAACTTATGCTCACCACCTCACCATTTTCTTGCATTTTAAGTAGAGTTACAAAAAGGGTTTCATAAGAGAATTGTGCAAAGTTAAAAGTATTGAATTAATCATTAATAAAACAAAATTTCGTTTTATAATAATGTGAATCTTATGCTTGCAGTGGAAATTATGCCTCTTGGTATATTCTTTTTGACGTAAGCATGAGTGGTACTTGCTCGTCAAGAGAAGAATATAGTCAAAGAAAGGTACA